GCATATTTTTGGCTGTGTCGGGGTATGAACTCCGAACACCTTATATGCAGGGCGGGCGTGTTACCACTACTCCACAACCGCACGCTGGACTCATCTGAAGTTTCAAGTCTGAAGAGGCGAAAATGTTCACTCTTGAGTGATGCGATTGACTTGCCCGATACCTCTTTTTTCGCGTCTTCTCTAGAACAGTGGAATCCGTTTTACCAGACTAAGGCATATGACTATTCGAGTTTTCCGTGTCACACTAACTTCGAAAACGGATAGGTTCTGTGTTCTTAGTAGTAGTTTTATCTAAGAAATGCTACACTGAGTATTTTTTCATCTGAGAAACTTTGGATTCTTCGTTTTCTCTGTCGATATCAGTTTCTCATGAAATTCCGCGAACTTTCGGAAAACGCGTGTTTTTGGCCATCAATGTACACATGTTTTCCGCATACATGTGGAAGTTCAGCTCTTCAACGGGCATACTGTGAACGAGTCACTCCGGTATTTGGATGTCGATGGGAGTAGTAGCATCATCATCAACAGCATGACATCGATGTTCAACACCGNTTCCGGATCATATCAGCGGTTTGCACAATATCTGATGAGTCTGTCTACCTGATGAGGAGGGAAATTGCATAGAATTAAAAAGGAAGGCAGATGAGTCTGTGGAGTTGGAAAGCGGAGGGTGCCATATCGTAGAAGTCTGTACACATCAGACAAGAGCATATGCTGAAGCGTTCTGAAGTGTAGGCAAGGACAAGACAAGGCATTTCTTTTGTTCATCATTGCTGGGTAATTTTTCCAGCAACCCCTTTACCTTGGATACTGAGACGCATATTTATGTAAACAGCATGGGTACAAAAACTGAAGGATGCAACTAACAACATGAGGGAAAACAGTAGGACCGAAAACCATTTACGATGGAGAACATATCGTGCGAATATTAGTTTTAAAAGTTCGGCTGTGAAGCTTCACCCAGTGGTCATGAGGTGGGTGAGATAGGGAACCACAGGTGTTCGCGTAATAAAGTTCGTGCTCACCAGTGCTGCACAATGGGCATTTCAGAAGGTATTTACACATGACGGAGTGTAATGCGTAAATATCCCGTCAAATATTCTCTTTTATTCTTACCAGCCTCAAGGAGAATGTTACCGGACGATAATAAAAGCCGAATGCACCGATTGATAACAGTTCAGTTCTGTTTTGACAGTCCGCTTAAAAGGACGGGTGAACAGTATAAAATAGCTGGCAAGTGTTTGTCTTCTGTATGTTCCGTCTTAACGGGAATCAAGTCCAGTTGTCGCGCAGTTAATTTAGCTAATTCAATCNATGCATCCTCTATGACAACAGTTGTAGAGAACAACGGAAAAAAAGTACGGCTCAATTTACATGCCTCGAAGACGGTGTGCTTTTAACAAAAGCGCAAATTTGTCCAGCTCCAAAGGAGCGCGCTTTCCATGATATCTATGCATATACTACTTGATTTTTATTTAAGCCTCTATATCAGCCTCTTCACCAGTTGTTTTACCTATTGGTTGCGCGTTCCTCAATTTGCTGAAAGGAGTTTTACTGTCTTACAAACTAAGTGGAGACATCCCATCAATTGAATATTGTGAAATGCTATTGTCCGTGGAAAAAATCTCGCTTAGTAAAAATGCTTTCCGGCAACTTCGTGGCTTTGTCAACGTTTGATGTCGCTACACGACTTCACTCTGTTGTTGCTTTTAGGAACAATGCGGAGACGAGACAACTTTACAATGCTGGTGTCATTTTGACTCTGTTATTATGAATAATATAACAACATTATTCATTTTTTAAAGAGTATTTACGTTGCTAGTTTCATCTTAAATTTGCAAACTCAGGCCGACCTAGTTGCATCTGTTCTCAACTATTCACTACCCATGAAAGATTCGTTTGTATATACTCCGAGATTCCTTCGAACTGCATTTAGTTTACATTTTGGTCCCAATCATCTCTGTGTACGAAGGTTGCCAATCAAGTCTAAATACACACACAGACACACGTGAATTTCGATCGATAGGTTAATGCGTGAAAGAATGAAACTATTTGTCACATCTTGATGGTGTCTGAGCTTAATTTACTCCACGGGCCCGTATACGGGCGTCTGTGCGTCGGTATTCGTGTGTTCCTCTCTCTCAGTGCTTCAATTGCGTAGTCGTGGAGTACAATATTGGTTATCACATTGCACTCATTGGCCCGGTTGAACAATGCTAATCACCTGTCTAATGGCTGTTTTATCGCTGCATTGGTGAACCATTGTTTTCCGCCCTACTTCGACCACGCCACTTATCAGCTGTTGCATGTGAGCACCACACTGCCGTATTTTTTGTGAACTTGTCAATTGTGTGGATGTACACGGGTCTGACAAATTTAGTGATCGGTTAGTTTGTCAATTGCTGCGGATTCTTTCCTGCCGTATTGTTTTCCTGTGAGTTCACTACTGTGTTGATTGCTCTAGCAAAACCGATCAATCACTCTTTTTGTTCGTACTGGGTTCGTGTTTTACAAGTCATCTGGCAATTTATTTGTTCGTCATTCGTCTGTCCCCGAGTTCCCGTCAATTTTATGTTCTGTTGTAACCGGAATTGCAC